GGCATTCATACCTTAGCTGTCGGATCACTCTCCAGAAAGGATCGTCAATGGTCACTTCGGTCCCACCAGCTTCAAGAGCAATTGTGATTAGGCTACTGTGGTTATAGTGAACCATGATAAATGTTTTCAGCATTCGGTATAATATCAAAGTTTAGGTGGGATGGCTTTTCCTGGATCTATCTGGGTTTCTTCAAGAAAGTTATGAAAAAGCATTGCAACCATGCGCCAACACTGAAGTTTGATACAGCGATGGCCTGCGTCGTACGATCAGAAGTTCTAACTTGTTTCATTTGTGGACAAGTAGCATTGTTCTGTAAAATACTATGCTTTGCGAAAGTGTCAAGAAGTTTTCAAAAAGCACACGTATTTTAAAAAAACTACCTATAGCTACATTCTACAATATGGGTTTCATCTTACTCTATGTGGGAGATTGGGTATATGCCTCAGGTGGCACACAACATTATATATTGCAGCACCTTCGCTGAGCAGTTTCTCTCATTTGGCATGTTATTTTAGAAATTTTATTTTATACGTTCATGCTATACAGCCGCACTGTGGTATACATATAATAAATATGGCATTTGAGCGTATGCCGAATTTAGTGCATGGCCCAGGCTTTCCGACCAAAATCCGGTAACTCCTGTCGTTTTTGAAAAAAAAAAACATACATAACCTCAAAATTCCACAAAAATGGCCCGAATTCATTCAACTAGTGGAGAATAGCGGACCTATGACGTCGCTTGCTTCAGCAAAAACTTTATTTCTTTGTTCTATTATCAGCTTGTGCATAATATATACAATTTCAATACTGAATATTAGGTACTTTTTTTAAACAGCCAGATGGTCTAAGAATTCGGTATGTATGATTGTTGGTATTCGAGATCAAAAGAGTTTAAATGCTTCTAATCTAATATTTTGTTCTAAATAATAGACGTATACACAAATATCGAATATGTACCCATATGTATAATACATACAAATGTGCGTATCTTGAGATAAAAGATCATGTGTTGCGTCTAGTGACTTAACTAGATTAAGGCAGTAACTTATCAGATCCTGATTTTCTGATATGAATTTCATTTTTAAAAAAATAAGGTTGAGTTTAGGAAAGAAAAAAATAAAATAGATGTTATTTTTGACGATATCAAAACTGAAAAACAATATATATATACATATACATACATTTTTGCAGGAACTTGGAAAGTGTAGCACGAGCAAAACGTCCGTTGGGGGTTAACTCTGAAACCCCATAGTAAGCCTATTATTCATTCTTTTAGCTACATCCCAAAAGTGTTATATCAGCACAAAATACTAAACATAGCAAATTTAGACCTTACACTCAGGGTTGCTAGGATAAAAGCAAATGGCCTAAGTCACCCGACCGGTTGAAGTTAGCCATCTCAACAAAACGCATAAAAGGCAATTGCTTTAACCATATCTTAAGCAACGTATAGACCCATCCATTAGGAGATAGATTTGGTACTATCGAAAACAAAGCCCAATCAATTGCAGTGGACATAAGACCACTCTCCCATCAAAAACGGTAAAGTTGGTGCCAGCATGTTGAATTACCATCCATTGTTATTATACTTATAAATTTATTTTAATTTATCATTTTAAATAGTTGTGACTTGTAGCTATATACTAATTTCTTTAGAAAATATGGGTTTTTGAACACTCGCTTTTACACAACTAATAGCCCAAATGCTATAAATTAGATATGCGGATCTCTTCGTCACAGTGCTGATAGTGTGTAGGCCTATATGTTTCGAGTTTTACGTCCGGTATCGCCGTCAGACGTTCCATCAGAAGCACGAAAGGTAGTGTGTGTTTATGCCCTACGGGTTCTAACCTAGACCACAACATGTCCCTAGGATTAGCATGCGTATACGTTACCCACTAAGATACTACGGGTGTAGTGAGTGTATAGGCCGATCAACAAATGAAGTGTCAGAACAGAAGAAGCGGAATTTTTTCTGACCTGTTTGAGTGTTTCCTATAACTTTGCTATACCTCGGAGGATTTTGTTTTTAATTAATTCAAGTGCTTTACGACATTCGACTTTAAAGTTCCCCTGGCTGTATATATAAGTATATCCCAATCAGTACGAAAAATCCACAAAATTGGTTGCCTGTAAAAGATATAGTTCTTAGTAACATAATTAGTTTACTATATTGAAAAAGTGCACTGTATCAGCTGGTATAAAAGAATAGTTAAAAGAGATACAAAGGACGGATCTTATTTTACAGCTACTGTGCCAATATTTCTTTCCGGTTTAAGGTTCGCTTTTATAAATTCATCTTTGAAATTATAAACACCGAGCACCTCACTGATGGTGTTATTTAACGAATTAAAAGTAAAACTGTTTCTTATTCAATTTTATATTCTATACCATACTAGCTTGAAGAAATTAATTACCCGTTTTAAGACAGAAAAATGAAAATCCGCTATTAGCTATTTTTATTTCCCTGCTTGCAAGATCTGAAGACCCCCGACTCGAGTAGCTCTGTCATACGCGTGCGGTCTGAGTAAAAAGGGATGTAAAAATAAATACACTTGAGGCTTGCAACCCCGTTATTGTACTACGGTAAAAAAAGAAGGTCAAACAGTGATAGATTTCGCTAGAATTTTAATCATAGGACAGTTGAGTAGCTGCAAACTTGCGCTTACATCCGATCGTCTGATCATTAATATGTCGATCGTTAAAATTTTCGTTTCTTTTAGCATTTCTCGTTATCGTTCTTACCTAAACAAGTCTTTGGAATCACCTTTTTTCAAGTACATTAAAGTAACTTCAGACGTACCATGCATCGCTTCTTAACAATAGGAACTTCTCTATATACCTGGGACTCCTTTTAATGCATGCATACGATTAAACAAAGACTATTAAATAAAGATTCCCCGTTATATTAACGAAGTAACAAGGACACATTCTAATTACAATATTTTCTGTCTTCTTTTTAGAAAATGTTGGGAGATAACATTTGTTAGGGTCCTGGGCCTTGTTTTCGTCGACCATTGAATTTTAAGACGCTGAAAAGTATATGTTATAAGAAAAGCGTTTTTACGAAGCAGGATTACTTCTATTTTCACGGGTTCTACCTAGTACCTGTAAAATTCGAGTGTCTTCCTTTTAGGCTGTTATCTCAGCGGTGCTTTCCTTCTGTTATTCGAAAGATGTTAAAATGTGGCTACCCTTCTAACGAACACGCCACTTGTAAATAGAACACTGAAAATCCCCACAGGCAAACCTCGCTCTTCTTGTCATCTAAATAGCCACTCTGTTAGTCTTACATTGAAAACGTATCTATACGAATATATATACCTTTTGCATACGAATCACGTGTGATACCAAGTACAGTGATGATGGTGATGCAGCTGTAGTTAGTCACCTAGCCTGGTCACTCGTCTGTCAGCAGGTAATCATTTCGGGGCAAATATCGTAATTCTGCTCGTCGCTGCCACTCCCCTTATGGTAACCTATTTTTATATGCCAAAAATAGATGAGTGAAGCTTCGGTAAGGCCCGACATCATCACAAGCTGCTGGCCAACAGCATCGACTGGATTCGACTAGTAAAATAAAACATCGTAATGGCTACCGTTCACTCGCATCAGACCAGAAAAAGCTGCCATTTGGTATATGGTGGACTCACTGCCTTCTACTCTTACAAATAGCGAATAAACAGTATGGTGAATATATATATATATATATATATATATATATACATATTATGATATAGATGCGTACATCCACCAAGAAAGCCTATTAAGCAGAAAGAGATATCATGTAGTGCTACTGCATGCACATACACGCTTACGCATATTTTGGCTGATCAAGCTATTAAGTTACAATGGACAAACCAATCAATCTCTGGGATTCACAGACACAATCGTGTAGCGTCGTTTTCAGTCAACGGGACACATCTCTATACAGATTCTAAGCATGATCACACTCAGAGTTACGCACGTTTATTTTCTACGCCGTAAAGTATTTCTGCATCGGATGTTTTTTCTTCTATGCCGCTGCAAGGATAAATGGCGGTACTAGGAAGCTAGGAAGGCATGAAGTTGATGAGAAGCATTATCCTAACATTAGCCGTACGTACATATCAATAACATCATGTAAGTAGCAGACGTATTATAGTTCCGCCGCAAACACAGAACAAAGTAACAAACAACTAGTAGATAAAATAGCTGGGGTTGTAGTTATTAAGGCTTGATGGACCTGTGTAGTGCAGTACACGGCTTACAGGTAGTGGGCATTAGCAGGCCATCAAAACCTTCCTACAGCAAAAAATGATCGGCCGAGAAACAGCTACGTCGAACACAGAGTATTTATTGACTACTGGATCGAAGATTGGCTTCTCGGAACGATGATGGGGTGGACGACGGAACTCATACCCGGGATTGAGGAACCTATAGCCTGCTATGAGCTCTTGGAGAGGTTGGGCAACAAATACATTTGCAAACTCAGTCAACTGACTGCATCAATTCTGTTTAGCCAAAGATCAGACATTATCATACAGACTGCTGCATACAACACGCTGAACGAACTACTTGGGTATTTTTGTTTTGAAATACCCGGAAAAAATCAATTGTTAAAAACACGCACGAACTTACTGTCATCTGTTTTTTCATATTTGCCTTATTGACTTTTTGTCTACTCCTACATACAGTTCCCTATTCGTGTGAGGTAACCTGTAAGGTCCAAAAAAGGGATTGAAAGAAGTGGCAGGTAGTATGCGAGCGAATACTTGTATCCGGCGGGTATAATGGCACACTTATTTATAGTTCTAGCACAATTCGTGATAATAAACTGTGGGCACAAATAACGTTTTATTAAATTAAATTAAATCTAAAATCTATATAACGTCTTTAACGTACTATTTTTGATTACATGTTTGCTTCCGTAACGAACGGATGCAAAGAACCGTTCGACGGACGTGTCTTGTATCCACGATCTTAGGTGGGCTGTATACGGTTCTGCGCATTTTGATTGACTTCAAGTCGATTCTCACTTCAAATCACGGCTACCGCGACTACCAGGTAGGTGACACCGACAGTGGTCCTTAGAGTTTAAAGTTTAAATGGTAATGACCCATAATATATCACGGTACAAACCGTACAGGTTAGAATGCAGGACAGAATTACAGGACATGCCTGGCTAGGGAAGTTAGTGACCCAAAACTAAGACAAGTTAACAAAACAGAGGTTTATAATTCTTGCGTGCACTATACATTTCGCATTTTAAATAATAACCATGCTTGTAATTAGTTCTCACCTATTTTTACCTTTCGCTCCGTTTCCTAAAGCATACACATACGTCAGAAGTAGGAACAGTAGAGGTAATGACCTATAACGTATCCAAGAGTCTTCTGAAGCTTCCAATTAATATTGTGAACCATTATAATTTGTGGAGGTACGCTTGAAAACAGTCCAACCTAAACGTCTTCTTGCAACATGATTGCTATGCACGTTTTTAGCAGGGATCAAGCCTATATAGCGCTACACGCATGTAGAGTCACACCTATCATCCAGCGTTTACAAGTTGTATACGTAAGACATGTTTAAAAAAGATCGGTGTTTGGTGGAATAAATTGGAAGCTGTTCCGCTATATGATAAAATAACTGTTCCGCAACAACTGATTTTAAAAGAGCCGCTTAAAACATATTGCGAACAATCTTTCTTATATTTCAGTGCTGAAAATAACTGGCTCACAAGTAAGAGGGGTCATTTGGCAACCCTAATATGGATATTCTCTGGTATAGATGCCGCTTGTTTCGCTTACACTAATATTTTTCAGAGATTATTATGTCAAATATAAGACGCAAACTATCGATCCTTTGATCATAAATAATGTAGCCACCGACGAAGGTTTTTCGCACAGTCGATCGCCTACAAATGTACCGTTAAACTTAACGTATCGAGCAAGGGATTCCCAGAGGAATCAGGATTACATTTATTGGTCTTCTCTTAAATTTTCCCTACGTTTGTACTTGTAAATATCATTATATACGTGTATAGGTGCGAATACTAGGATCTGTAAATTGTTTCCCCTTTACCCCTAGTTGTCTACAATTCATAAAGCTCTTTTTGTATTCACCGTAGGAAGCTTGTTTCAATCAGTACTAATAAGTTGGCAATTCTGGGTGTACACCACACATAGCACACCTAATGCTGTGTTGTTACGAAGACGCTGTAATTTATTTACCTTACGGAATCTGAAAGATACGGCATACAGTCTGCGTGATAATGTATGAAAATACAAGCATCCATGGGGATCAGCCATAATAAATATTCCTTTAACCTTAATAAGGAGCCACCAGGCACAATTCCGGCAAAAAGTGTTACCTGCACACCAAAGGTACAGTGTTTGATGACAACAGAGCGAGTCCAGATGCTTTGGTCTTATTGATTCAAATACATCCCACAGAAGTTCTGCCCCATTTTGCTACTAAGAGACCCGTCATACAAAAGCATAATCTTTCCGCATATGCCTGCTTCTATACACCTTTACTAATCTATTGTATTGAGCAGTGATCATAATACTGACCAAAACAACCAAACGAAGAAAGCACACCATTGCTCGCAACAGAACCATCGGTTTACGGATTCTCGAACATTTTAATACACTTTTTATCAACATATGTATTTTTCCTTGACTTAGACAGACTTTCTATGGTGCTATTGGCTGACAGTAAGGTCGCTGACCGGTGTCGATTTCTTTTAAAAATTCTGCGGATTTCGGAATATCACTTTCATCACTGCACGACTATGACCCTTTTTCCGTTATTCCAACCGCCGGCTTTTTCTATCGCATTGTTAGCTCGCATTTGAGAAATATGCATCAATACCTTGAGATTATATCGAAATAATGAAGGCAGTGTCCCAGAAACGCAATTAGGATTAGAGATACCTTTTGGATACACATATATATACACGGTTTTTTTGAACACATGCTTACTAAAATAAACCTCGAATGCTTTCAGAAGAAGAAGCAAGAAACAGATCTGATTAACTGAGTCAAGCGAGACACTCCATTTAGTGCATATTTAGTGATGGCTTTAATTACAACAGTAGAGATGCGCGTCAAGCTTTTAATCAGGTAGCCAGGCGCACTTCCTTTGATAGGTTCAACTCGATAGGTTCTTTCCCTTTATTGAAATGTGAGTTTTCATTTCTTTTGTTCCTCTCCGATTATCTCACGCGTTAATTTCTACTGGTTCTTCGATTTTCTGGCGCAGACGGAAGCTTTCACCTTCTCTCTATAGCTTTTTTCAACAAAACGAAAATTCATACATACATAGTATTGGTATATAATATGTACGCCAAACGTTGAAGCGGCGAAATAGAAACTCTATTGAGAACAAGAAAAGACATGAACAGATACGAGGTATAGAGTTTTCGAAATTAAGCCTATGACGATTTCTTAGTGTTCGTCGAGATCGATAGATAAACTAACGATTGGAGAAGGTATCTGGTACTACTGATCGCAGAGGAGTGCTTCTTTTTGCGTTTCCTTAATTTTAGTACTTGCGAGAGTATATGATTGGTACTGAGCAGCACTTGAATGAGACATAGTCTGCAAAAGTTTTCCGCCCGTAAATGTACCTTTACCTTATGTATGAACTGATCTTCGTATCAAACATGGGTACGCGATCGATGTCACCTATTACAATTCATTGAAAGCGATGATTTATTTTTTCTTCTATGAAATTTCCCCTATTATTTCTAGATCTATTGAGTTCCTGCCCGAATACGCATTTCGAGCATACCGTTTAATCCGGACGATGTAGAATAGTAGATGATACATAATATACACATATAGAAAGCACGTTCATTGTAAACGGGGTTTGATATACAAAAAAAAAAGGTGTAACCATATTTCTAATGTCAGCCAACAAGTGATTCATATTTGATTGTTTGAATTATGAGTCATCGATGAACTTAGAGTGAATACGTACAATCGTAACTTCTTGTACCTAAAATAGCTTTCTTTTAACCTATTTATCAGAGTTGAATATTTAGAAGAAACTTAGGACCCTTAGAAGGATTGAGTTGTTGTCCTTTTTAGTGGCCACACTACTGGAAGCAGCCATAAAACATAGCTGGCTCAATCTTTAATCAGACGAGTAAATCCGCCGTATTCAATATATTGTGAAACAATGTCAGATTTTGTCAGTTATATTGGGACTGGCGGATTGTCGTCCAACTATGTTATATAGCTGACAATACTACATAAATAAAGACGGTATATAAGACGCACGCTTATCTCCGGCAAGATCTACGTAGTTCTGTACCGTCATACGGAAAAGTTCAATAGCGTACACTTCGGGAGAAACTTGTCTTTGTCTTAGGCCAACTTGCAGTCCATCAGGGGAAATGATTTTTTAAGCAGGTTCAAGCTGTAGATCCAACACGGAATAATTAGATCTGAACATGAGCTGAGTATGTTTGTGTTTGTATTAACATCAAAATAAGTAATATATAATATACCAGTAGTCTGCGCTACGATCTGGCAAAACCGAAAAACTCGTTCAGCTAGGGCTATCAACACGTCAGACAGCCAAAACAATGCAACCTCTCGCACATACGATCTATATCGGTATTATTAAACCCAACCATAAAAAATATCTGCGGACTACAAACTGCAGATTGAGTTGGCAGCTTTATAAAAGCCGACTGTTTTCCCTAATTGTATAGTTCATCCTCGCCCAAACAATTGAAATCTTTATTTCAGGTGCGTCACTGGTGCGGAATTACGCTAGAACCATGGGACCGGCAGTCGGTGGCAATATTGCTTTGTATCGACGTTCTATTCAAAACTCCACTTGTCACAGCCTCGGGAATATATATTGTATGTGCTAGTCTTAGGTCAAGCTAGCGTAGGATCATAGTTGTACTTAATTACAATATTTTTTTGCCCACATATACATGCGTGGTTTATAAAAGTTAGACAACGAAATATAATATCATCTATATCGGAACATTTAGATGCATCTGAAAATTTATGATCCCACCAACACATGATACGACCTGTTTTATATAGCTAGTAAATAAGGAAATATGGAAAAATAGGTTCTGAGAGTTTTAAAGGTGGAAAATTGGTGACATATGTTTGATCCGTTGGCATAGCAGGCAAATGGTACTTCAACCCAAAAATGTCCTCCGAAATATCGAATGATAGCGTGCGCCTATGAAATTAACACTCGCTTTCTCATTATTGATTACACTGTTTAGGTATCGATTATTTCTAAAAAGACCTATGGCTCTATTAGAGCTATCTCAAACGTTTGCTATCTTAAATGGTACAACATGAGGGTGGCGTTCCAAGACATGTTTTTGTTTTATCAATAGCCACGATGGTACGGCAGAAATAGTTGAAAAACTCGTTCTTTTAAAAGTAAAAAAGGTTATCGTTGTATAGGTAAGAAGACAAGCGTCGCAAGTATTGCATCAACGAAAACCTAGGCGAGATAATCAATCTAATGGCAATGCAGCGATATCGAAAATCTCGTTAGTGGCCGACTCCTTTTGACGGAGCTTGTTCTGAAGGTTTACAAGGAACATGCGGAAAGTAATTCTAGCTACGCTATTGAAACGACAGTCAGCATTGCACAACGCTCGTTGTCATAGTGGTTCCGCATTTGAGAACGTTTTTTGTTTGATGTATTATTTGGTAGTGTATGTATTTGGTGAGCGAAGCGCCTAGTTCCTGAAAAATGTTGAAAAATGCGTTTACGATTTACGTATATCACATCCATTATACGGTATATTCTAACGCCAATAAATATTTAGCTAGATAGTGGCCTAGGTTCTCATAGGTAAATACGCGATTGCTTTTTCTATGAAAGGAAAGATCGTAGTCATTAGCCCATGACGATCCATGTTTTTCGTGCAATTTACATTTCCTGTTGACCTACATAACAGATAATTCCGGATGAAGCTATAAGATATCGCTTTCTTTTTTTTTTTTTTCTCTGAAATAATATCAAGAACTGAGAAAGAACCAAAACTCCATCGGTCACATTACCGTACCCTCTTCTTTGGCTTTGATGATCTTGTTTTAATTAACGCCAAAACCTGCTAGAATATACATAGATCCCAATTTTTCCATTTAATCCGAATTATTTGAAGGGGCGCAAATGCCATTACCAATCAACCTGTCAGAATCGTTAACGTGTTGGTGTTTATTTTCTTCTGTCTGTACTATCGATATAGTCTCAGCATGCACTAAAATGAAAAAAACTTGTTGTAGGAGCCGTCGAAGGGTTACCTCGTTGTTATTTATGCTTTGTAATTGTATCAGTATCTTTTTGACGTACCATTGAACCAACTAAGTTCATTACTAACTGAGATTTGATTATTTAGGTCGTCTTTTATTTGACCATGGTCAGTTACGAGAAGCATTTATTCGCGTGTTATAACATGATTGTTCAGAGACACGTCGGCGAAGCTCAAGGAACGAACAAGGTGACGGTATGTACTGTTGTTTTTTACAAAAGTCTGGTGCTAAGTTTCTAGAACTCTCTAGTTAACTGCTAATCAACTGCGAGGGAATCTTCGCCCCGTTTAGAGCCACAACCTTCCACGAGAACGAATAAAATTAGAAAAGAATTGAATTCGAAGGCGTTCTCTAGTAATTTCTATTGTGGCTGTTTCCTCCTTCGCAGCTCTGCAATTAATGTATACATTCAGATCGCGTAACTTCAAACGTGGCAAAGTTTACCGTTAAAGACAATGACCTGTCGTCAACGGCGAAAAATTTCACCGATTCTTAGTTGTCATTTGTATCTGTTTTGTCGATTTGGTGGCAAAGTTTAGTAAGTGGCTAAATACGCTTCCTTCGGCAAGCGTCACAGCACCTTTGCATGAGGCAACTATTCTTTTATGGTTCTTGCATCCTCTATTTTCGATTCTATAGATGCTCACTTAGGTGCCGTACCCTATACTTAAGTGCAAACTTTTGAGCTTCAGAAATACGTAGATTATCCAATATTACAGGTGTCCATTTGGATTTAGATGCACTATATCGCCAGAGCCCACAACTCGAGCCTTATTTAAAAATAAGCTTTAAAGTTTCAGGGAGTACCGTCAGCTCAGAAAAATCCTTGCTGATTTCAGCATGTACTATGAAACATTTTAACCCGACAAATATAACTCAGATATAGAACTCATTGGATCTACAATAATTCCTGCTTCCTTTTTTCGTCCATTGTCTAATTAGTTCATGACACCTTTAATCTCAGCTATATATTAAGGTTAGCAAATATTAAGGTTTGTTAGGAGTCTAGCGCTTATAATAGAAGATGTGGTTCCCTATCAGCTGTTCTCAGTCAAATTTGTCTAATTCATAAATAACGTATAATTTCTAATTTGATAGGTATTCTATATCGGTGCAGTATCGAAGACACAGCCAGATATGATCTAAAATTGTCCTTTAAGACCAAGACGAGCAAGGTTTTTTTGGAATCATTATTTACATCCTGTGACTGGGTCCATTAAGCAAATAATCGTTTTAACGAATAAAAACAACATCTATGGAGCCTATGAATCTACTATCAGACCCTCTGGAGGGTCCACCCTAGGGCTCTAGAAGCGCGATGTATAAGCATTGCTGTCGTACAGATCGACACGACAAAAGTATCACCAGGCCAAACGAGAAGAGAGAATACAAAAACACTTAATTTTCTAAGCATTTGCGTTCTTTTCCGAATTTTTACAATTTCCGACATTTCATTATGTTGCTTTCGAAATAACGCAAACGAGTCGCGCTTGAAATTTCAGTACAGCTACGAGTACAAGAGTGTCAAGTAAGCTCTGATGTCAATTTTGTTTCGTAGCGGCCTGAGAATGCACACGACACTTGACAATGATTAGTCAAGTAAAAGTTCTATGGAACAAACTGTGCGGGCTGTGCTTGGATTGCATTAGGACCCTTTGTTGGGTGCTCCCATGTTATGGAAGCAAATCAATTTTTCTTTGTAGACGACATAGTTAATGTTGCTACTCTGAATTTTTAAGCGTTTGTAGCTGTGCTCACGTTTATGGTCAACGTAAAGAGGTTCAAAAATAATAAAACCAATAATCGAAGATCCATCGACAAGAGTGGGACCACTACCGCATAAATGTCATCTTTCAGAAAGTACTCTTGAACATATTTGATGCATTGTATACGAAACACCCCAAAAGCAGAGAGGCAACCCATATTAAAAATTGATATATTTTTTGACTATGTGCTAATTCTTCGTCCGTTAACAACACAGTGTTCATATGTCTCTTGTCAGTGATGATAATAATAAAGCCAGGATATGCAATTAAGTGCTTTATTCAGCTCTTCAATCGTACTCGCTGAAGAAGCTCGAATTTAAGCTAGGATAGGTATTTTTCGATATAATCCTCAGAGATTAGAATGGACGCCTTGATCTCCCATAGCTATCCCGCATCTCAAATCAGGTCACACTCGTCCAAAAAGTTTGAAATAGTTAAAGCTACTTGAAGTATAAATATTTCATGTAATTAGTCATTCGAAATTATTCTGTTGTATAATACTGGCTCATTTTTTACTTTTTTTTTTGTACTACGATTTGTTACTACGATAACTAACTACAACCACCTAACACCTCCATGGCTGTTAACTGTGACAGGCAGTACCGTGTCTGTATGGTAAATAAATACAACGAAATAACCATAATGTTATTATAAAGCTACTTTTGTCTCTCCATCATTTATTCTCTTTGTGGACTGGATAAATAATTCGAAAATTAGTTAGATCAAAACCGCTTGGCAAGACAAACTCCGGCAAATGTCACTATTTATTTTCTCTAATTGCAGATGAGTCTCGTCGAGCTTCAGGCTGTGCGCCGATTACAATCCAACTTGAGCAAAACAGTCTTAAAATCGGACGATCTTTTTCAAAAAATGGCCTTCTTCTGGACTGGCCTCTTCGTGATTGGTGTCTGCCTTGAGGTTACCAGGTTTGAGGACTTTCCAGCTGTTTTTAATTCCACAATACAATCGTATGTTCACTCTTTAAGCCACAAATGTATCTGGCAGCGTTGAACGAAAATACCTAAATACAATTCAATCTATACGTTGTATAGCCTATGTGTAGCCCCGTTTAACTAAGCATGCGTAAATGATGCGGCAGGGCCTTAATCGAGCTCATATTAGTATTGTATCCTTTTTGGAGCAGTAGATTTCGTAGGCGCAGCCAGTAGGCCACGGATAACGTTCTAAAAATTCAATTGGCAATGGGATGGCCAGCAGCGCGAACTTCATCTTGTCATGGTTTCAGGTACTACAATGGAAAGGCGTCCGATCCAGATTTTGACGATCCAAATGAGCTGCTGCAGCTCTTCGTAAACCTAATGAATTTCTTTATGCTCTTCATATCTTTATCGATTTTTGGCGCCAAACTAACTGAAACTGCACATGCATGCACGATGCTTGTACATCGGATGATCAACCACGCGCCAACGGAGGAAAATCTCGAGCTCTTTTCGCAGGCCCATCTACTAGTCGCGCAGATGAATAAGCCGGAAATTGCCATGAGCGGTTAGTTCAATGAATATTTGTATTGCGACCATTATCACCAGCTCTTCTATGACAAATCTTCAATTTTTTGTCACTGTCTTCTTGTAACAAACGTCATCTAATACACGTTACACAATAATACTTTCTAACTGATTTGACGTCCTGGTAACTGAGGACAACGTAACTAAGTTAATCGACCTTTAAGCTCACGGCAAAATATTGGACGACCAATTTCTCAGCACACGTATCGTGTTTTGCACTTGGTACCTAACGGAAATTCCACATCTATTCCTAAGGTCCAAAGGCAAACAATTGCTGGAACTTCCCCAGAGTACCACAGAATGTGTGTAACAGTGTCATACTCTACGAATGCATGCATGTGCCATAAATGCGCTTTGCTGTAAATCACTCCAATCACACTACATTGTCACAAAGATTATGCCTGCATTAGCATAGCATAATGAATTGGCCTCAAGAAAAAAGGCACTTGATCAGGGCTCAACTGAATCGGTAGGTCGATTTCACGAGTGGCTAATTGCTACGCAGATATCGTCTATCTATAGCTTTTTACGTATTTGGCGTTATCCAAGGGAATTTTCCCTAGCAGAGGCGAATTCTCTTGTTGGTAAGCCTGAAAAGTTTGGGTTTATCATCTTTGTAAGCTGGTGTTTGCAGGTTTCTAAGTATTTCTTATGTAAAGCGAGTACCTTTATGCACACGCTCATCAACTTTGTATTTCATGGTTCGGTCTGCAATTGCTTTTACGGTCCAGGCTTAGGGCAAATCTATATTTTTCAATCATTACATGTTGAAACAGCTTTGCAAGACAGTATTCAGTTACACCGTTTGAGAATAGCTCCATGCCACATATTGTAAAGTGTAAGATATCTATTATGCCACATAGAAGCTTACTTTCTGCATTTACTGAACCAAATAGTTTGATCTAAAGTTTATAGTTTTCGTTAAATACAAATCAACAAGTAACTCTCTGCTTAGCTAATAGTGAATCGGTCAAACTTTACTGGACTCCTATCGTGTGTTTACCATTCCTTCACTCATTATATAGGTTGATAATTCATTGAATCAACAGAGATTTATTTAGGAATGCTAGCAAAGGACAATTGCCGTTAATTAATCGCTATAGATGTTATCTTTATGGGGCATTGTATTGGTAATGACTTTTCTGACCCTGTATCTTATTTTTAGGCTGGAACTTCTTCACGTTTTCGCGCAACTTCATTCTAACAATCGGCGGAGCTCTGATCTCTTATATTCTCCTCATTATTCAGATGGCACCGTCGAAAGTTAAAGACGTTACAGTGGCCTCAGATATCAAAATAATGGCAAGCTTATATAATGCTACGGCGAGTACCGTGCTCAATAATATAACGACACGGAGTGGTACCTGGTAAAGCCGGAAAAGATACTTTGAAGAGCATATACAGATTGGTCAATCGTTGCGTATTAATTACATATAATTTATGAAAAAAGCCCTTTTCCTTGTTGAGGACCAGTTAGTGCAACAAAAGGTGAATATGTTGTTTTTGTTGACCAGGAGACGCTGGAAGTTAAGCAAATATAATAATAGATCCACGATACCAGTCATATATCTCAGTTTAATACTAGCTATTTAATATTATCGTAGCTTTATTAACTCAGCGATATGGACTTGGTAAGAAAGAAACCTTAATTTTGGTATCAAATTGAAAACTAAAAATCAAAAATTGTCTTCTAGCTCACGATAT